CTTTCCATGTGCTTCAAGCTTTTATTTGCATGTGCTGTCAAACGTTTGACAAGCGCGTAAATACGGATCCATAGATCATCAGCATCTAACTCTTTTATCCTGAGGGTTCCGCACTATTTCGAGGAGGAACTTCCTTTATTATTAAGTGTTCTGTCTTACGACAGGTCCATTGCTCTGCCCAAAAAGAGCTCTCCAGTTGTCCCTATTCTCGGCTTCTCGCTTTAATTCCTGGAACGTCATCTTCTTTCCTTGTTTAAGGTCGTCGGTTAGCTGTATCAGTCTTCTTCCCAGTCCTCGCTTTCCTTCAACCTGGCCTTCGATGATATCACTCATTAATCCATTCCTTCTCATAATATGTCCCAGCCAGTTAGCTTTCCTTCGTGTAATCGCCTGCAGAATGCTTCTTTGCTCGTTGACTCTCCTCAATACTTCTTCGTTGGTCACTCGATCCGCCCACCTGATCTTCTCTAATCTTCTCCAAAGGTTTTTGATTAGTCTTCTAGGAACTTCCTATCGTCATTAAATTCTTCTGTTTCTACATTCCTTTCTTCTTTACTTCATCTGTTTGCTTATCTTACTTGTTCTCTGTTCCCTCTTTTGTTTCATCTCGTTTCTTTCCTCCGTCTTCTTCACTGTCGAATTCTGTCCCCCTCTATAAGCATCAGTTCAGGGTTGGGTCAAATACCTCTGCGAATTATGATATTAACCCGGGTGTACCCTCTTATGGCTTTTCAACATCACCGAGTTTTCTGATCAAGTTCACACTCTGACCACGCTAGGTTATCGAAGAAGTACAGACGTACAGAGAAAATTCAGGTCTGTATGTATCAAATATTGCCTGTGAAATTGGGGAGTAACTGAAAAATTGGCTATTGAAGAAATGGACTTTTGCTTCCTGATAATGGAGGCAGCAAGGACCGCTTAAAACGTAAAACTTCTGCCACACTACACGGGGGTACAACGCAGAAGACAGCCATCTTCACAGACTCACAGCAGTGAGAATCTCAAATCGCACATTAAATTTATTCTAATCTTGCATATTTTATGACAATTATATTTTTTCTTGTATTAAATTTCGCGATGTTCGGCGAAGACATTGTCCGTTGAATACCAACCAGTTTTCCAGACGGTTCATATGAATTCAAGAGATTCAGGTTTTGGTTTTGTAAATTGCATTCAGATGGCTTAGGACAGATTCCAGTGGTGATGGTTTATTTCAAATAGTAGATATGATCTTGCGGTTTGTATAGTATTCAGGAGTTTGTCAAATCCCTCAAAGTTTCTGATATCGCAGATATATAGCATATTCTTCCTTCTGAATGCATTGAGGAAACAAGAAGGCTGCCGAATAAATCCGACGTCAAGTTCCAAATCTCGCGAAGTGATATAGAAGTGCCTGGAGCATCGCATCGGTGTTGTTTTTTTTTCTGTTTATAAACTCCATGAAGTTGAAAATCTGTCACGTTTCGCAGTTACATACAGGATAATATTGTTGCGTAGCGAAACTACTTTCTGGGAACAAATCCAAGCTCTTCGGATAAATCTGCACAATGTATTGTGTGCGAAGTGTGACGTAGAAGGAACAGCTTTCCCGCACAGAAATGTCCAACCTCTTTCCGCATTCACTGAATTTTTATTCCTCTCACAGAAATCAAATTTGCATCTCTTCATCGTGGACAAGAAAGCAACGTTCTGCGATATACTTGGAAGGTCCTGGGTTCAGGTCTGTGCTGAGAGAACGGCCGTCCTCACCAAGGTTGTTTGACATTTTTCTCAGTCGTTCCACGAAGCTGTTGCGTAGGTATAATACGTTTTGAGTTACGTGATCATACTTCGAGATCATCCCCTTTAAAACCATTTCCTATTTACAATTCAATTTACCATCAAACGATTCGATGTTACATAACCTAAGGAGATGAGTAAGAATATGTATTTGTGTCCACGTACCATATTGTTACGTTTGTTAAGGTTAAGTTAGGTTAGGTCAGGTTAGGTTAGTTTTGGTTAGGATATGTGTAACCAGACACAGTAACATATTTCTTCGCTACCCTCGGCGTCGGATTGCTAGAGTTTTGTATTTATCCTGAGATATAAATTCGCTATGCGTCGTAACGCTCTGCGTTGGATTGCTAGATCATATCGACCTCGACGTCACGACTTTGGGCGTCCGTTTTCAAAATTTACGTTTTAAGGAATCTCTAGGCTCACCTAAACTAAATATGGCGTCTTTACGATGGTCGTCCAGACTCTTGGCGTCCATTTTTGAAGACGTCGTGGTGATATCTGTCAGTTTTCCAAGTTCATTTGAAAGTTGTCTCCAGGTTTATCTGTGTCTAATATGGCTTCCTTTGGCGGCGGCGCGACGCTTGGCGTCGGTTTTCTGGCATCGTTTCAGATTGTATCTGGGTGTTTACCTGCGATGAATGTGGAGTATCTTGAAGGTGTCGCATTGGTAGGCGTCGATTTTTCAACATCATATTTAAAGACGTTTCCAAGCTTATATATGCTAAATATGGCGTGTTTTGTGCGGCGTCGCGACGCTCAGATTAATTTATATTACGTTTTATATTGACAATTAGAGGCTTAGGGATTTGATATGTTAGGCGTCGCGATGCTGAGCGTCGATTTTCCAGAAGTTTTTCCAATGTCATACCGAGGTTTATGATTTATTGTTTGGGCGTCGCTTTGAACATTGTATTCCTCGGCATATCCAGGCATGCCTATAGTAATTTTAGCGTCTGTGGAGGCGTCGCGACGGTGAGCGTGTTCAGTAGCATCAGGGGGCTTGCCTGGAAACAATGTTTATTGTTGGGACAGCACATTCTCCCTAATCTGCTGTACCACCCACCGAGATATTTCGTTGTTTCTTACTGCGAATGGATGTGGAAGGTAAGTTTTCGTTGGAACGCTGTACGTCGGCTTAAGAACGCGACTTTTTCGTACATAGCAGCGTGGTCATTACATCACAGGCATTGTGTCTGCTTCATTTGCAGGGCTCTTGTACTAAGAATTGCTATTCTTATCACGTGCGGCTGATATTAGCATTGAACTTATGTGTAAGTTCTGTACCACGAGGCATTGAAAGACCTCTGTAGCAGCTGATCGCTTTGTCCCCACTCTAGTACACGCCTACAATAAAACGCTCGCTCTCAGATCGTATCTTTTTTACATTTCGACACATTTTTTTCCAAATTTTCTTCACTGTTGTCCTCTCCTTCTCCTGATGTCAAGTCGCGTGTAGTTCCGCCATGTACTCACTGGTTCTAGGGCCAATTTAGTCTCATATCCATTAGGTACCATGGTTCCGTCTCTGGACCAAATTTTAAATTCTCATCTTCATTGGTTTGTTAATAATCGCAATCAAAGCGAAGTGAAACGTACGTTTCATGCAATCATCGACGTTGCATGTGGGCTCATGTCTGTTAGCATAAATCATTTAAAGACTGTATTAAGTGACCCCAGAGTCGCTCCGGGCTCATATGTTAGTGTGTCCTCCGCATGGATATTACCTGCTGTGGTAGAAAATTAAGAATTTGAGGTTCAATACCATCCACCGGGTTAGCTTTGATGGTGGGCTTACTATATTCAATAGGCGTGTGTTCAGAGGTTACCATATTGAACCCTTAGGACGGACGTTTAGGTTTAAAGACGGGGCAGACATTGCTTTTAACTTATCGACATTGTTCAAAGGACTTCTAATGGAAACGCAAAATCTCGTGCTCCAGGCACTGTGGTATCGTTATACAACATTGCGTGTTGTTTGAACAGCCTTGGTCATCCACTGACTTCCGGTTTCCAATATAAAGCTGCTAAAATTACTACACATATTTTTATTGTTCGCCATTTTTTTTCCTTGGATTTTTTCGTCTCGTTGCTACTAATTTAAGCTACTGTAAACAACAGAGCATCAATATGAAAACTCTGGAGTCTTTACTATTCATAGTAAGCCATAAAGTGAGCTGTAAAAAGAAATGTAAGCTATAAATAAGATTTGGATCTTTCACGGTAACTGAGCACAGTGAAGTTTTCCCAGGCGTTCAGCATTATGAAAACGGTGTTAATATAAAGATATTAGCTCCATTTTCAAACGTCCGGGAAGACTTTATAAAATAAGAACTTTATGACAACGTAAGAAGCTAATTCTGGGCTGTGGGGGTCTTGTTACATTGGGTTATAATGAACCGATTAAGAACAGAATGAATTTTTTTCCAACATTTAATAGAGAATTTCTATGCCAAAGTTTCGTGTCATTAGATTTTCGGAGCTGGATTCCAGTGTGAAACTTCGACTTTCAGGGAATAAGTCTCATCGATTATCGAAATTTATCCACTTTTTCGGCAAACACTGCTGTTGAGGATATTTACATGTTCAATGGTTCATCCCGGAAAGCTCGAATTTTACAATAACAAATATTATCGGAATCATATCACCAGTCTCGGAGATAAAAGATGTGGATTGACATTCAGGAACGTGCTCGCCATTTTGAGTATATTTTACGTAGTTTGTGAAAATATTGCATGAGGATATAAATTAAATTGTTTTTATATTTAACCTAAAGCAGTGAAACGTAGACTCTTACATTAAGGAAAGAACACGGATTGATGAAGACGAAGTGGTTAGGAGAATATTTGGACCTAACACGGATGAAGTGAGAGGAGAAGGGAGATAAGAGTTTTCTTAAGTAAACTGGGATGAAGTGTGTGGATTGGATTCATGTGGCTCATGATAGAGACCGATGGCTAGGTGTGGTGGACACGGCTATAAACGACAGAGCTCCTTAAAAACCAGCGATTGGGCTGAGCGTGTGTGAAGTTCTGTAGAACGACACTTCAGGGGATTAGTTTGTTAATTAGTTGTAAATTATAAACCTTGTTTGTAGTAAATCGAAATCTTTGGAACATTGTTTTTAGGTCTGAGAGTTAACAGTGAACAGTGACACCGATTCCACTCCAGTACCTGGCACAAATTATACGAAATGTACGCTCTTGTCCATGTTTCAGGAGAAGCAGGCGACCACTGCATTGCGCTCTGTGGGGGAATCCGCAGACAGACAGGTGGCGAACTACGATATCTGGTGAGTACGTGCTTCTTTTCATGTAGAACAGATGTGCTGGTTGTTATGTTACGTTAACGGAGTTAAAGGTTTACCTTCATACTCGCGATTGTATTGAACGTTCCTTGATGTATGGGTCAATAATGTCTTTCGAAAAGTCTACTTGCTTTATAACGGCTGTCTTAAAAATATTTATATATACATAATTATTTATGATTGTTCATAAACTTTAAAACGTATTTTAGAAACTTATTAGTTTATTTCAGGATAGAAGTGCGAAATTAAGAACTCGTTAATTAAAGCACTTAATCAAAATGTCTGGTCAGAAAGATATTAATCAAAATGTCGAATTTTTTTTTTTTACTAATTTTATAATGAAGTGAATGGATGATGGAAAGAGACTGTTATGTAAACCGGAAGAGGCTTCATATAAGTATGGAAATTTTTTGAAAAGCGGGAAAGTTGTTTTTGACTTGATATAATTTCATGTCTACACTTCAATTTACGTGGCTTGTAAGTTTTCGGGTTCGTAGTGGCAGAAGATTGAGGAAGATGAAGTTTAGATTAATAGCCAAGGCTTATTTTATCTGCACTCAATTTTCCAAATAACAGAACCCCTAATGCCTTCCACCCTTCACTTCTTATCCCATTTTCTATCTTCCTACCCCTCTTCCATCCCACAGCCTTGATTAAAGTGTGAAGTGAATGAACATCAGTCTGGTACTTGAGAAATTGGTAGGATCAAATGCTAAACGTTCATAAATTTCAGAGCCCAGAATGGCTGCCACTTGGGTTTCTGGTGACAAGGGAATGCGTTTAGAGAACGTTATGAGCTGGTTGTTGTGGCTTTTAGGCTAGTTTCTTATTTACAAGAATCAGGCCCTATGAGTGACTTGTAACTCGGCTACACTTTAGCTTTTTAAAATCTTTGAAGTAAACAGAATTCTGTGTCGTGAAAGTGAGGCTGCTGCCGTTGTGAACTAAATGTTTATAGCAACATTACTTATGTTGTACAGTAGTACAGGGTGATTAAGAAGTCTCTGTATACCATTCACAGTAACAGGTGTTGGAAGTGGGAATTGATTCGATTTCCCCTGTGTGTGTGTGTGCCCGCGCACGTGCGTGCGTACACAGGAACAAAGGAACGGGAAGTTTTGAATCCCTCTGTATCACCTTATTCCCTTGACACAAACTGACAGCAAGATAAAAACCCTGGATATAATACATTTAAAAATGAATACTCTTTCAAATTACCTCGTGTTACTACGAAATGTTTTAATAAAATGTCTGCCCTGATAGGACTGAAGGTCACACCTTGGTGGATAATTCATCGCCCACAGTAAATTATTAATTTTTCTCAAAATACTGAGAAAAATTCACAGCAATTGAAATGTTTTTACCACAGCGTTATGAAGCATTCCATTCACATGCTTCGTAGTCGCGCCTGCAAGCAGAAATGAGATTTGTCAGTGGACAGATCATCAGAAGGTTAGGTTATACTGCACCAGCTGAGGTAATTAAAATGTTAAAATGAGGTTCGTGAAATATCGAAAATGCTACAGAAGTTTTAATTAATCTTTTTCATCTTTCAGTAGAATATGTCTCAACATTTTCATGCAAAAGTTTACAGCTGCACCCGACATCAGGCATTGTTTAAATATCTCTCCAAATTCCGGCGTCCATGTCACGTAGCGACGATTGAGGGAAACAAAATATGTGCACAAAATTTTTATTAGGTATCGTCATGAAAGTAAAATATTAACATTTTATTTTTGTGAGGGGTAACTTGTCTTCGGCTTCTAAACAGAGGAGGCGACCTCTCGTAGCGAAATGTTTATGAGAATATGCGGAATATACGGTCCCAGTAAAGGGGCAGGGGGCTGGTTTTTCCAATGGGGGTTCTGTGGGGTGCTAACAACTCAGCACGCCCTCAAACATGGACAAACTGGAAAAACCTAACCATCAGGAAAAAATTGACACGAATTTTACATTTTAAAAACGTAGACTGTTTATGTGTGGTCTGAATGCATGGGACCCCACATATTTGATATCCACGACTACTTCAGTTTCATTGTTATTTTAATTGAGGAAGGGCGTCTATATTAGAATTTAAGCGAATTTAATTCTTGAATATTTAGCTGGTTAAATATTAATCCTACTTTATACTTGGAATGTAGTCGATTTTACGATACCTAACGAACGTTTAAGACGTTCAAACGTGACGTGAAATATATTATAAGTTCCTGTTGAAATTAGTTAGCACATCGTAAACGGTGTGGGAACGGAACACAACTTAATCTTGAAATAAAACGAATGTCTGGTGCGAGGATTAAGTACAAATATTTAAGAACTAGTTATACCCTAACCTGATACACGTGATAGGACGGCAAATTCAGAAATTATTTCAATACCTGCATGAAACCTCATTGAAAGTGTTAATGAAGCTGTTTTGCAGCCTAGTCTAAAGAAGCTACACAGGTCGTAAAATGTGAAGTATATGACTGTACTAATTTGAGATGGGGAAATTTATTAACTTTCTGGCACGTGTCTAGGAATTTCTTTAATATCTACGTAGCTCACTGAGAACTGAATTGGACGAATCAGATTAGGAACACGGCCATCATATATCGGACGTTAAGGTCGTAGGACAGCGTATTGTGTGAGAAACTTACAGTAGTTGAACTGCTCAAGACGTTTACAGCCTTTTGTGAAACCCAGAGTGCCACTATTATGATTATCTTTACGCATAGATATACATACATAGGGCACATGCATACGCGTACGCATTCAATTTTTTTTAAGTGTTCTGTCTGACGACAGGTCCATATGAACAGGATCCTTCCGTCCTTTTCTCGGACTGGGACCTGTTCATATACGTTCTTGGCAGATGATCCAGAAGTGGTTTGCCATTGCCTTCTTCTGTGTGTGA